ACTCGCCCCTAAGAAAGACGTGTACATCAAGCTACCCTATATGGGGCATCATAGCAGCTTGATAACTAGACAAAGATTGAACGCTGCTGTGGTTAAAAAGACTTTTTATGCAGCTAATATCATAATAATTGAGAATGTGAAGCCAATATATCCATCCATCTAAGCCCTTTGAATATGCGAAAAATGATGTCACATCCCACTGTATTTACCAATTTGAATGTACGTGAGGAAAGACTTACATAGGGAGGACTCATCGATCTCTGCAAGTAAGGACTGGCTTCACAGAATATTCCTAAATGGCTCCAGAAACAAATATAATCTTCAGAACCCATTAATGGTGAGAACAAGAGACCTAGCTCCTCTATTACGAAACATATTACAGAGGAGACAGGACATAAAATTGACGTTAACAGATCTTTTAAACCTATCTATAAAACGTGTTTGGAGGAGGGCGTATCCTAAAGTTTATGGAAGCCTTAGCTAGCAATTAGAAAGTTTAAACCACCTTTATGCGTTCAAAGCAAGAATTTATCATCACACTAAACCGCCTTCTTTGGTAAACTTTGTTTTGATACCAGTCAGGGTAGATGTACTATTACTTTTGTTATTTGGTTTAGTGATCTTCATTGTTATTTTGACCAGCAGCAATATGTCCTTTTAACTTGACCTAATTAGTCTATTTTCTCACCTCTAAACTCTTTATTAATTTCATATATATATACAATCCTATGACAAGTCTGTGGAGTGTGATCAGATTGTGTTCTAAGTGTGTTGTGCGCACAAATACAACATTACACGATTCAGACAAATTACGTCTTCCTTCTTATTGCTTTATCTAAAACAAAGTCATTCAGATGCAATAGGCTATATATATATACTGGCATGGAACTATGTATAGATAGAATATAGATGATTGAAAAATCCATCTATAGGAAAGAAACTTCAACTGGCCAAGATTGAATTATGAAAGTGTTATCTATACCCTATCAGCTACAAACGCAGCCTGGTGAAAATGCTCTTTAGCAAAGCTAAGGTATTGTCTCCAGAAGATAAAATCGAAGAGGAACTTGGAATCATAGAAAAATACCTTGTCGAAAATGGAAACCCTCGGAAGTTCATATTCAAATATGGCAAGGAAAAACCAGCTAGACCTAAACCCTACAAAGCTGAAAGGAAATCAGTTTGTTATCTGTTTAGCGTACAAAGGCGAAGAAGTTATCCATAAGAATGGAGAACAAAATCAAAGATGCCACTTTGCAACACAGTATACTCGTTAACATAGTCAAAAGTGGATAATTATCCTGCTCTGAATGTCAACTCCAACTACATTTACCAATTCACCTGCAGTTGAGGTAGCAAGCATATCAGAAGGACTGAGAGGAAAGCGTCTACTTGATTCTCTGGGCATACCCCTAAAAGTCTGCGTTTGAAAGGCATCAAAGTGTTCTCAAGCGCAATCGCCAAACACCTAATTGACACAGGGTATACGGTAGAAATTAGTCAGGCTTTCAAAATAATCAACTCGCAAAGAGAAGAAAAGCATGGTTACTTCGGTTCGCAGAAGCCGTTGCCACCATCAAAAGACTTCGACTCAACCTCTGTATACAGAAAGATAGCGTGACTAATCTCTCAATACCCTAGCGGCCGTTATTGTTTTCTTCGTGAACTATTGTGTTTTATTCTGTTGCATGCATAACATTTCGCTTGATTTTGATTCTCACTCACTCACTGAGTTGAAATCACTAATACGTGTTCTACTAAATCTACTAAATTAAATTATTTTATCTATATTTTATAATTTCACTTCACTATTCACCCCGCCCCCACCCTCCTGAACTCTCCATCATAATATGTATAAATTCACTCTGTTGTTCTATCTTGTATTTCATCTCTAGTGCTTCCTTGTTTCCAAGGGAAATCTGAATTCTACCCCTTTGTTTAATCCCTATTATAAGTAGTTACTCTTTTAACACTAAATAATTGTCCACTTACATCATCTTTGAAATTATGTTGCTTATACTTTCTATGCACAACTTGAAATCATTGTAAAATGTATGTTCAGACACCATTTTGTGACATTTAACTGATTTTGATTGGACACTAGTGCGACGTGTCTAGTTCTTTCTTTTCTTTGGCTCAGACTGAATTCTATCAGTCAGGTTTGCAATGTGGCCACCATTCTAGGTAACTCATCATCAAGGTACACATTGATTTGATGATATATTAGATAGTTGGAGGCAATCGGCAGGAAGCCTCCTTAGGTCCAAGACTTCCTGTGTAAACAACAAAAATCCAGATTTTCAACGCTAATGTTAAGCCAGTCACTGCTTCTATGTAATTCAGAGACTTCGGAGAGTCATAAAAACCATTTCCAACAAGATGCAAACTGTCATTAACGGTTTCTGTATTAGATGGTTGGAGGCAATCGGCAGGAAGCCTTGGACATGGGTTTCCTGCTTGTTAGTACTCGTTAGGAAGGCGTATCTGCAACCTTGAAGAGCATGAGGAATTCATGTACATACGTACGACATGATGAAATCATGTCCCTTCAAGGTTGCAGATACGCCTTGCTGACTGACGAGTGCTAGCTAGCACGAAGCCTAGGTCAAGCAAGGCTTCCTGTGGCCGATTGCCTCCAACCATCTAATATCATCAAATATAACTGATTTACTTAGGCTATACGCAGTTGAGGAGAATCCACAAAATTAATCGGGCTCGTATTATCCTGCAGATGTGATAGGTCTTCCTTTATTCAAACAGTTTTATATGTTAGACTCTGAAGCCTGTTGTCTAGATATGACTTATTTATTATTTTTATTTTATTCCTTTACGTTCCCAGTAGAACATAGAAGGATTCAAGCTAGAGTCTTGTAGTTTCGGTAGCATTGATGTTTGTTTTTACAGGATGTGGTTGCTGCTGGCCTCATGCCCAACCTTGCCTCTTTACCAGTCTAATTACTGGCTTAGTGAGCGAGGTAAAGGAGGAGTGCGTCTGTTGGCCGGGGATGGAATCCCGAACCACATGGGTGGTTGGCGGGCATTCTACCACTATGCCACTCACGCCTAGATATGACTATCAAGAAATATATACTGCCACACACACGCACACATTGGCAAGACGTTTTGATTAAAATTAGTGAACTTGAGGGTATGCTTTAACATCACTCATGTAGTGTTAGTTAGGAAACCTAGGCAAGGCTTTTTATACATTGTGTCGGCCAGAAATCGAAGCAGAACCATGTGTGCGGTTGGTGAGGATCCTGTGGTGGAATCACTGATGCATAACTGCTGTTCCAGTAAGCATTGATTATTATGAAATAAATTTGGAATGACGCAGTTTAAAGTGCTGCAGGAATTGACAAATCATTATCAAGACGTTTTCTGTTAGCTGAAGACTTTTTGAAACTGCCATTTGTATTGACGTTTTTTAATAAATTAACATTCTTCAATGATAATTTATTGTTAAAATACAAACTTAGTGCATTATGAGCACCAAAAGATCTGCTACACTGCTTACGCGTGGGCTCAGATAATCTTCGGACACCTAGACCTAAGCAGGTAGATGTTTTAAGGGATCCCTGCTCTCACCATCGAACCTTTAACTTGAAGCCTGATCCACAAGGCAATGGAGCAGTTTTAGGATCTGCATTTCCATGGTTGACAGTGATCAAAACAGGTTCATATGATATTCGATTCTTTCGGATTCTGGAGCGCATATATACCACACGTTTGGAATCAGGGTTTCCCAGCTCGCTTGGGTAAACCAGGATGTTCACAACCAGTCAGCCGTAAGCTTCAGACGTTCGCATTTATCTTTTCACTTTTGTGAGGAGCATCTTATCTATATGAATTCAGTGAATAAGGCTTACGTGGTAGGCAGTATGAAAGCATGGCGACATGAGACAATTCTTCTTCAACCATACTAGGTTACTTGTCTGTCTGTCTGTTTTCGACATAGAACTTTGCAAATATGTGCGGCAGTTCAAGTCGCCACACTCCCTCCATGTAGCACACAAAGCAAGAGAAGAAAGTAGAAGAAATGCATAATATAGACAGTAAACAGAGGTGGGAGACAAAGGAATAGTAATAACGGAGAACAAAACAGTTTAGTTGGAAATCATAAGTCACAAGGAGTGGATGCATCTGCGTGCCAGCCATTGAGGACGATTTTGAGCCATATCACCAACTGCTTCCAACCATTGGTTTTTACTGTCCCGAGGACCCCTACCAGTCAGGAAGTCTACACCTTCCTACGTGACTGACTTAGACTAACTGTTGTAGATTTCATTGACTGGTGCCATGTTTCGGTTTGACCGCCGCTAGCTCTTTTCCAGCCTGACCCTATGTCAGCTAACATTGACCGTCAGTCGAGGAAGGCGATGACTAGGCATACGTAACACATGTCCTAACCACCTCAGTTGATGTAGCTTCACAACTTCGTCGATTGACTTCCCCTCCTTACCTAGCACTCGACCAATGCCTAACCTCAATATTGCTTACCCTATTATACCACTTCACAGAGGAGATAGAACGCAGGCACCTATAATCAAAGACAGTTAGCTAGTCTTTTCATGTCTTCCACTCTCAATGGCCAAGTCTTATCATTATGCTGATGGCTATTGGACCAAATTGAATCTTCTGCCCTGATGACTTATCTTCTCATATCTGCTATACATTGAATTGTACATAATGCATCACTTCGTGATTCAATTGTTCTATGGTGAATAGTCTTCACAGAGAGAACATTCAGAGTAAAATGTTTTCCGCACAACTTGCAGCCTATTTTCAAAATATCAATCACTAATTTTAACGAATTAAATTTTTGTTGTCGGCTGGTGATATGTATGTCACGGATTGACAGAAGATAGAATTTGTGAATGGATTCATTGGAATGCTGTTGAAGAGTCCCAAGCCAGGACGAAACACAACTATTCCGTGCTCTCTGATTCCAATTTTTTTTAAATATCAACTTTTCAGCTTATTTATCGTTTCTTTATATTATGAAATGGTTTTCTTATTTTCTTTTTTGTAACACAAAATTCCATTTCTCTTTAATTAACAGTTACATTTTTGAAGATGAACGCGGTGTTTGCCCACAAATTGAATATTGTTTCGATTTAGAATTACCATCAGATTTTATTCCTGTTGGTTCTGATGGTGAAGTGGATAGTTTTCAATTAGTCAGTATATCAGAGGTATGTGTTGGGTTTTCTTTTATATTTTTTTTAAATTATCGTTATTTTTCTCTTATAATAAAGCAAATTGATTCTGAATAAACTCGAAAATTAAACATTCTTACGCCTAAGATCTAACGTATGCTAGTTCCACACTGCTTCATTATCAGTATTCCCGAAGGGTTTCGAGTGGAAAATACTGACTTCAACAGCATATCTTCATCCCATCTCGTTCTCTGCAGTGCTTTTAAGCTGGCTCCACTATTTTCCATAGGTTCTCATCTCCTCCGTGTCACCACTGGATGGCAAGCTCGTCGTTTTCCATTCGTCTACCACTCGAGCGATGGCCTGGTGCGTTATGTTACATAAATATCTGCTGAGCATGTGACCAATACATCTGTATTTGCATCTGTATAGTTGTTGGGTAATAGGTTGTTGGTTGATTCGTCGCCGGCAGTATGCAGCCACCACAGGGACTCATACTCAGGACCTTCCGGTTACAAGACATGCTCGTGTACCATTCAACCACTGGGAACCACCTGACTCAATGGACAGTGCATGAATTCTAACTTCTACCAATTCGGGATTTAGCGCGACTGGCACCAACCCATGTCATCGGTGGGACATCCATCCTCACACTTGATTGGATAAACCTCACTGGTCACAACTTTTCAGGAGGAGTTTCCTGTAGTTCTAGTGAGAATTCGTGAACAGTGAGGTCATCCAGTCAAGTGTGAGGATGGAGTTTCCGCCGATGGCATTGGTTGGTGCCAGTCTCACTAAACCACGAATTGGTAGAAGTTAGAATTCATGCACTGGCCACTGAGTCAGGTGGGTCCCAGTGGCAGAATGGTATACGAACATGTCTTGTAACCGAAAGGTCCTGGGTTCTAACCTTGGTAGTGGGTGCGTACGTAATGACGATGATTCCCAAACTAGACTGATGAAACAGCTATCCAGTACTCTGGTGCTGGTTTCCATTGGTTCTCTAACTGATATCACAACGTGGGCAAACTTGTAAAAACAAATCTAATCCTCACAAAACAACTCTTGAAAAATAAGCATAATATTAAAATTGTTCACTTTTTTTTATTAACTAATGAGTGTTTGTTTAATGCACAGGGTTCGTATGAGTGTGTGTGTGCGTGTGATGTACTCACCCTGTTTGACAGGGGTTTCTCCCCATATACGAAGGTATGGTTTCAAGGGGAATGTGGTAACAGCACACGCACACACACAGACACACTCCAGTAAAGCTAATGCATCAAACGATCTTTCCATTGAAATCATGCCTTTGTATACATTTTTCTATAGAGTGATTATTTAAGTTTTGTTTTTGTGGTACTATTCGTAGGTCAGACTTTAAAAAAATTGTTGCCTACACTATAAGCGACAGAACGTTCACCAACTACGAACGTGGTTCGAGGTGGTTCGATCCCTGGCCAATGCACTGCTAAACCTCGCTCAAGCTGATAGTGTGACCGGTAAATAGAGAAGGTTGGGTGTGAGGGGGCAGGAGCTCCACCCTTTAAAAATTAAACCATTGCTACTGAATTTCCATAGCTCAAACAAGAAGGTCCTATGTTCCGGTGGGAATGCAAAACGATAAAACTATGTATATATTCCTTTGAGTTCGGAGCTGAATGTTACCCTTTGGGCTTTTTGAAATCTTGGTTAGTCGTGGTAATGCTTTCACCGGATGGGGTTGCTAGCCTCCTTTCCAAGTTTATTAGCGGGTCGGTAGACTAGACCAGGTTTAGGGGTTAGTCTGTTGTCTGAAAATTGAACGTTGACCCGCTGCGAGCCTGGTGGGCATTTCCTCATCGAACCACCGATATATATATGTATTGTTGTTTCTTTTAATTCCTAGAGGAACATAGGGCTTCAACCGCACGTTTCCATTGCGTTTGGTTTTCTCCCAAAGTTTTCACCTGGCTCCACGTCTGACCACATGCTTTCATCTCCTATTCATATGACCTCCTCCATGTCACCCTCGCACTGACGACCAACTCGACGCTTCCCATTCAGGTTTCACTCGAGCGGTAGCCTGTCTTGTGATGTTACTTGATGGTTTCTTCAGAGTATGGCCACCAATTCACCTCCATTTCTTCCTGCATATTTCTTGCACAATTGGTTCCTGCTGCGTTGGTTCGTTCATTGCCACAGATCCCTCTCTGTTGCCGATCTTTTCTGGCCGGCCATCTGATCTTGAGCGACGTATTGAGCGAAGACAGTTGTTTATGAAGGGTGGTAGTTTGTTCGAAGTGCACTTTGTGACGTAGCGCCAACTCTCTGGTCCGTATATTAAGTAGCACTGACTTAACATTGGAGTTGAAAATCCCGATCGTATTTTTCATGCTGAGTAGTGCTGTTGATCTCCACACAGACTTGAGAGAGATAAAAGCTTGTCTTTTTTTATTTTATTGCTATGCGTTCCAACCGGAGCATAGGTCTTGCAGCTTGAACTTTGAAGTTTCATTAGCATTGGTTTTAGTTTTTATGAGGTTGATTTGCTAGCCTCACTCGCAGCCTTCCTTCTTTACTGGGCTTATTAATGGCTTGATGAAGTTTAAGAATACGTCGACTGGCAATCAACTCCGATCCACATGCCTGGTTTCTTTGAATAAAAAAGAAGCAGAATAGACAGAAAACGACGAATTTCACACCATTATGTTTTTCAAATCTTACTGTATTTCATTTATTTTATTAGTTTTATTTAGTAAGGTGTTTTTAAATGAATGCATACCAGAAGTAATCGGTTCTATTTGAAGACGACATATAAGGTTTTAGTGTTAACTACTGACATGTTACATTAGAATTTATACTATTGTCTTTCTGAAAATTTATTCCTCTTCGAAACAACACTTCATTCACTTCAAAGTATGCAGATATGAAACATCATTAACCTATGAAGCTCCTGGATGCTGTCCTTGGCAATGTTGTCGACCTGTCTGTGTATGAGTTTGTGTGTGTGTGTACGCTCTACTGAAGACTCTCAGACTCTCAGATAAAGTAAATGTCGTCCAGTACTCCTCCGTGTTTTTCAATTATTCTTCATATCATGTATCCATTCGTAACGCAATCTATATTGTATTTTATAAAATTGATATGTATCAGAAATTATGTTGAGCATCCGACAGTGATATGGAGGAGATCGTGTGTAGAAGAAGAAGAAGAAATGTAAGGTTGTAGGCATTTAATAATAAAAATCACATCTTTATTCTGGACAGTATTTATAAAATGTACCGAATTTTCATAGGAGTTTATTCCATGATATTTTCCCTGCGTACAATATCTTCAACTAAAGTATTAATTGACAGTACATCCTTCTTGTGACACAATGCTCTCTGAGCGCTGTAGCACAAACCATTCCATTATGTGATATATCTGCTTTGTCCCTTTCCTTGAAGAAATCCACAATATCTAGTTGCTAGCCAATTGTAAGATGTTCAGAGGTACATTTTGGGACCCAAGGACATAAGGGAAGAACAGTTACTTCATGTATTGGAACATATTACCACACCCACAATCAGGCCATTTTCCAACTTTAGCAGGCACATGCGAATCAGGAGCTTGTAAACATTTTAAATACACACCAGAGTAGAAAATTCCGTCAGAGGTGATATCGTAATCGATTAAAATAAACCGAAGGAGAGAAAATATCTGGAATAGAGAGATGGAAGTTTTTGGTAGCCCAAGTAATAAGCAGGTCACCGTCATCTATGATGAAATTGATGGCATAGAACCCCAATCCAATGGAGATATTCAACAATTATACATCTCATCCAACAGTTGTACGACAATGCTGCATGCCAAGCAATCCACAACGGGAAACTCACGGAGTCCTTCGAAGTAAAGACGGGAGTAAGACAAGGCCGATTGGCTGGCTGCCTACTATCTCCAATGATTTCACTGATTTCGGTAGACTGGATAGTGTGACAGACAGCGGCAGGTAGCGAGGAGACAGGCATTAAATGGACCCACACAAAAAACTCGGAGGATCTTGACTTCGCCGATGCGATATATGTCTGATTTCATACAAACTGGAAGATATGCAGGCGAAAAGAAACAAGTTGGCAGAAAAAGCATCCAGAGAAGGTAGGCCCTCAGGTGAACATTGAGAAAACAGAAGTAGGTGATGAAGATTCCTAGTCAACCGCAACAGCAACTACAACAGCAGACAACAATCAGCATAAATGGGAGAAACCTGAAAGAAACAACCTCTTTTAACTACCTACCTGGGAAGCATCGTTTCAACTACAGACAGGCGGAACTGATGAGGATATCATCAAAGGGAGGATCGGGAGAGCAAGGCAAGCTTTCATTACTCTCAAGTTTGTCTGGAGGAGATAAACAGTACTACTCAGCATGAAAAACAAGATCCAGATTTTCAACTCCAATGTGAAGTTAGTGCTACTTTATAGATAGTAGTCGTTTAAGGGAAGATAGGATGTAAGCGAGCCATATATTCCAGGTTCGATTCCCGATCTCACCTAGCAGCTGACAGTAACCCTGGTAAATAGGGAAGTTTTGTGGTGTAAAGCTAACAGTGTCACCCTATAAGAAATGCAAACGTTACTGAAACTTCAATGCTCAAGCTTTGAACCCTAAGTTCCATTAGGAAGTCAAAGGAATGAAGGGTTTTTCTTTTAAGAAAATCTCATTCTGAATGTTATTTTGCATATCGTCTTCTATTGTATGATAGATGCTTCGATGATGCTTGAAGATTAATATGGCATTAAAAGTGTTGGTTTGTAGGGATTTGATTGGTTACAGGATTTTCATCATGAGCTGACATTAGTTAGAGAACCATTGGAAAACCTACCAGGGAGTACTGGACGGCTGTTTCGTCCTAGTTTAAGACTCTTCACAGTACGCACCCACCGCCACGGTTCGAACCCAGGACCTTCTGGTTACAAGGCGAGCTCGTATACCATTGAGTCACTGGGACCCGATCCAATGGCCCATGATTTCTAACTTCTGCCAATTAACGACATAGCGCGATAGCTAGCCAATGTCTT